TTCATAGAAAACAATGTTGCCATTATCGATTTAATACTTTGATAACTCGCAGTCTCGCAGACTTTACAAACTTAACCAAAAAATGTGTTCTATGAATTTATGAACTGACATGGACACAAAACTGACTGTACTTGTTGCGGACAAAATGTACCAGTTCGCTCCATGGATAAACATATTTTACTGACTATGCCAAATATATATATATATAACGTAAGTAATTTATCCTAAAAAGCTGCTCATTAAAATTTTAGTGCATTTTTTCCTTGTTCTGTTTCAAACATTAATTTACCATATATATCACAATAGAGAGGGTTTATGGTATCACTTGATTCACATTTAATGACAAAATATAACAAACCATCACGTCTGTAATTAATTCCAGATAAATTGAATAACAATAACAATTGTATTGACTTGTACCAAAATGTTGTGGGAAACTGATTATTATTACCAATCACAGAAATAAATGAATATAATTTTCATCACACTTATAAATGACATGATGTAAATAGATTTGTGAAACAAATGCAAGTTTGTTTTTATGAGCATGTACAAGACTGTAATTCTTAACACTTCAAAATATAACACTCAGTATGAACATGGAGCTCCATATACATCTTATTTTTTTTCCTAATGAAACCAGGCTGAAACAGTATTGTAAGAAAAACCTAGGTTTCCCTAGGTCTGTCTTCTTTGTTCTCTGTTGTTTGTTTTCAGTGGGGGCGTTAATGGGCAGTTAATCCGGAGGTTAGCTTCAAACCTACCACTAATTTGCATAATGTAGGTCTAGTAGGTCTGAATAGAGCAGGCCGGGTTAACCCAGTTTGACCCAGGTGTTTGAATATGAGATCACCCCTTAGCGATTCGATTCAAAATGGCCGACTGGCAGCCATCTTGTTTTTTGAAAATGCTTTGTCAGTTTTCATTCAATCTTGGTACATAGATTATACATGTTAGGATACATGTCCATGATGATTTATTTCGCAATTGGATCAAAGATGGTCGACTGGCAGGCATTTTGTTTTGTTTTTTATATGCGGTATCTTGGATGTGCTCTGTCAGTTTTCATTCAAATTTGGCACATACATGTACAGTACTCATTTCGCTCAGCCTCCCGCCCGCTTCCGGATTTCGATCGCTTTTTTTTCGCTCGCTTTGTTCAATTCGACCGCGCAATTTCCGCTTTTTTTTCGACCGCGCAAATCCGGAAGTATCCGCTCGCGCAATCGCTCGCTCGCTCGCTCGCTCGCTCGCTCGCTCGCCCGCCTGACAGAGCAACCGCCCGCATTTACAGTTCATTACCTACTGTTTCATGTACAAGTGTGTCATTTTTGTTTTTATGATGTTAAAATAAGAATAAATACAATCAAAAATTTATAGAACGACCGTTGAAAAAATGCGGTAGATCACACGGCCATATAAAATTGGTAATAATACATACGCGTAGCAATAATGTCCACCATAAACAAGATCGAACCAAACATGTGAAATCAAATACGACACTGACACAGACACAACTAATATGAAATAAAACCATTCAATTTTTGGTGGAGAGCTAAAAATGTCTACTCTAGAGTATGGTATTCATTGAACCGTGTATAGGGTGACGGATGTCATGCACGCATGGTTTGGGTTTAACACGGGTCAAGTTGTAGATATGTAAATCT